TTCTCATTCAAGGTTAGCGACCTTATTTGACCTTTTGAAGGTCAAGGTGACCAAAATCATACAAGATTGTTTTGAGTTTTGCATTCGACTAAGCGACAAAGATTACGCTAGGCAGTATGTTCCTAAAACAAAATGTTTACCAGGAGCATCTTACGTCATTGGCCTATCCTGACCTCTTAAGAAGTCCATGGAAGATGTATAATGTAAGTCCTGCTATCAATACACTCAAAATGAGCACCAGAAATTATCCCATACAGCAAGCCCAAGAGTAACAAAACAGGTTAGTTTTGACCTTGGTGTGACCTTCCTGCCTGACCTTTCGTCAATGTGATTTGCTCATTCAACTTAAGTGTTGCCTAAGAAAGCCTCTCAGAGATGTATGGCTTCGTCTGACACTCCGTTGTTGGATCAGATTAAAGGATTCCCTAGAACTTGGCTTCGCTGAAACCATGGCCTGACTTTGACCTGCCATAGGTCAGCGACCTTACAAGGTGCATTTAAATTTTTGATGACAAACCATCTGATATTCAGTTGTCTACAGCCAGGCAAAATTTGGCGCGGCTACGCCGCGCTGTTCGGAAGCCATTCTTGAATAACCTTTGGTGGGGGGGGGGCAATTTGACCCCCACCCGAGCGCGTGTTACATGACAGTCATGGATAGAACAACGAGAATGAGTCTTTTATCGTGAACCCAGATACCATTTTTCACAAATGTATTCTGAATTGCCCTGTGGTTGTATTGCAATAACACCAAATAGGTTTAGTATGACGGGAAAACTACGAACAAAAGGAAGATTTTGACACCTAGTGCAATGCAACTATCATCCGTAGCGTAATTTTTAACAAAAGCCACCTCCCGATTGTTGGCAATGAGTGCGTGAAAAAATTATCGCCGTAAATGCAGCCTAATTTGAAATGTTGGGCACATTTAGACTAATAAACCAAGCGCCACTCATTGCAGAGATGTTCGCGACCATCGATTTATTAGCTTACAACTTTCTCCATTTTCAAGATCACCTTTTGCAAGGTGCTGCTCGGCAGTGACCGCGTGGATCGGGGTGTTCTCCTGCTCCCAGATTGTTTTCGATCAAATCTGAGCCGTTTGCGGGATCGCCAACAAACTTGGCATAAGAACAGAGTGATTGTTTTAAAGCATTTTCGAAGCAAAACGGTTTGATCACTCAGACCAGATCACTAAACTGTGGCGTAAGCTACAATTTTACTCGATAACTTCGATGCCGGTACCTGCACGATTCGCCTGTTCGTTCATGTATGGTCACTTTCTGTGCTTGGGTCAGGGGCAGCCACTAGTCATGTCAGATCAAACGATGCCAGAAAAAATGCAATTATTGCTTCTAACGGTCTCAGAAATGGATCGTGCACAACCTCTGGTTCAAAAAGTGGATTTAGGAAAAGTGATGTTGAAAGGACAAATTTTAAAGCTCGTGATGGCGTCCAGATCGCGCCATAAATGCACTTCAAGTACCGAGCCGTGTGAGTCCGCACGGCCGCCGCCGCACATCTCTGACCAGCGTTCGGGCGAGTTGTCAGTCGGTCCGGCTCGCGGGCGCCAACGGTACGTGGTCTGGTGCGGGCCGGTGCGCGACCTTCGGAGAGGTGACCGGTTGGGCGACTGTTGCCGAGCGGCCGCCGGGTGGTGACACAACTTGAGGAAGGTTGGAGTGGCGGCGGCGAGAGCGCGGCCGGCAGAGGCGTGACGTCACCCCTGCTGTAGTTTGATGTGTCCTAATGTCGGCAGTTAAAAAAATGACCAAAAATGGCAAGTGTGACTTAGATAAATTCCCACAGCGTGCAAAGCTCATTCAACTGTAACATTTCAGAAATCACTCTTTCTTTGCAAAAGGTACTGCCGATCTCATCTGACCATGGCATGTTAAATCAGTAACCCAGCCCGTATCGCTCGGTGCAAAGAAAACGCGGGGGAGTAATGTGGCATTGAGGTGCATGATTATTGTATACGCCTCTCCGTTGTACCACACCACACACTGCCAATTAGTTCCTAAGTTGTGATCACGAATCGAACTCTTTGCATATGAGAGAAACAGAGGTGCCGTAACCTACATGGTATGTAACAATTTCGTCGAAAATGATGAGAAATGTACTTCAAACACCCTTCTCGTCTATGCGAATTTTAGTTATAAAAAGTACACAGCCGTGTTGCTTCAACACTGATATCAAGAATACATTGGTAGCGCGGTCTTTTCAAAATGGAATAGGTTGATTGAACCCCAGTGCCCTATTGGTCACATGACAGCAAAAAGAAGGTTTTAAAGGTTTTAAACACGAAGGTTCTGCGGCCTGACGACATAAAAATTGAATTTAAAAAGCTAGGAAAACTGGATATCTAGATGTTTTTATTTACGATGAGAAACTATAAAAAACTGCTGAGACATCGTCTGTAAAATCCATAAGGGTCGGTGGGTGTGAACACCACACGTATACCGTCAACTGTCAAACGATTTTTCTTGAGCAAGCTCAAAGAAATCCTAAGGTGTTTTCAGGAGCTAAGCCCAAGCCGGCCCCAAGCTGGGTTTGGTTTGCGTTGAACTCAGCATGGGTTTTACTTGGGTTAATCCAAGCAGACCCGAACGCTTAGATGATTATTTGGGCTTTCTAGGGCAAAATTCAACAACACCACGTTCAGTGTCGCCAAGATCAGAGCACATCCAAATGGCTGTCTGGACACCTGAAAGAATCTCCATGTACGTGGACCAATTTCTGGCTCCCAGCTGACCCCTGCGTTGCAGAGGTGCAGACATCAGCTGTCGCGCCGCTAACCCACGAACGCTAAGGCGAGTCATCCAAAATGGCATGTGCTTACCCCGATGATGCAACCACACGCAATGTATTGCGTCACGCGGGTCCATAGATTGCGTTCACGTTACGTCACATGGGTCTCGCCGTGAGTCTTCTGGCCCTATGAGCTTTCAGGTGCGCATCACCTTATTCCAGATGCGCAGCCAGAACTTGCGATGGTGGGCGGAGGGGGCGGGGGACTACCAGAATGCACAACGGGGGCTAGGATTTCTTAGGTCCGGACTCTAACTTTATTCACAGGGCCCACGTATTCCGCACAGACTACAGACACCACAAAAGCCAAAAGTTCTAGTAGGTAATTATCAGCAGGGTATGAACACTGGTTCACCCTGACGTCGAGGGCCCTTGTCTCGCTGCGCACCGAGGATATCCGCTCGGCTGTCGACCGGTCTCGTCACTAAATCATCATCGTCGAGCGTCCTATGTCTGTGCTGGTGCGTCACTTTGAGTGGTACGTCAATAAAATGTAAGACTAATAGCATTTAAAAACCAAAATAATTTTCCCGGTCATCGAATCTCGAAATTACATTACAAAGTGTCGTGACCGGGGTGACGCATCAGCTTTTCCTTCTGTCTGCAGACAGCGGGGGGGGAGACAGAATGTTTTTGCCCTCCAATTTAGGGGAGGCGCCGTTTTCCCCAACTGAAGGCGTTGCAGCTACATGTGGAGTACCAAACTTCAGACCAGGGAGGCCCTGCATTACTGGGCTGGAGAGTAATAGATCGGACTCAGAGGACCATTCTCTTCATCAAGAGGTCCGTTTTCTGGAATCCGCGGCCACTTTTGTGCATAAGGTGAATAATGCTCTGGATCAGGAGGCCCAATGTTGTGTTAGGGAGGCTCCTTTGCTGCCCCAGCAGGCCTCCATTACAGACTAGGAGATTCTTGTTCGGGCTTACGAGGCACCCTCTATATTGAGCAGGCCCCATTTATGGTACAGGAGGCCTCTTTCATGCAGCAGATGGCGGCGGTTCCCGATGAAAATCCCTATTTTGGAAAAACGAGGCCTCTTGGATTTGGAGCCTTTTCGTGACATTGGAGGCCCCGTCGTGAGCCCAAAACAGAATGTTGCGCATCCTGTTCTGGTTTTTCCCTGTATCCATCTAGAGGCCTGGTTTTAAGTAAGCGAGACCCTTTACTGGAAAATGGAAGGCCCCATTCTAGATAGCGTTCAGCATGTATAGGTATACTTGGATACGGTGCATGCAACAGTTTGATAGGGGTGCATACTCTCGGTACCCCTCCCATTTGAATACAACGCTGCGCAGGAGACCCCGCTGCGAAGGGTCCCCATTTTGTCCAGGAGGCTCCCTGGAAAATCCTGTCTCCCAGCTCAAAACCCGTGGCGCCGTCCCTGTTCGTGATGAAAAACTGTGTTCAACCTGACAGCGAGTGTGTGTGGGGGGGGGGGGGGGGTTAAAGCTCAATGATTCCCTGTTGGCTGGACTTCTGTGTGCTACACATCCGAGTTTTACGTAAGCATCATAAATAATCGCATAGACACATCATCAGATCTCTTATGCCTGTAGATTTGCTTGAGCATCAATGCCCTGTAATTTTTGTTACATATCTTGCGGCACAATATGACACATTTACCGCTGTGCTCAATATGCAAGCAGAGGCCTCGTTTCGCAAAATGAGTTGAAAGAGGCTGAAGGGTGGAAAATTACAAAACCCGCCTCCCCTCAAAAAATTGCCAACAAACGGGTTTCTCCCTGATTCGGCCCCCTTACCAAAGTTGAGAGGACAAGAATCCAAGTCAGGGATGCTGGACTTCCTCCCCCCTCCACTGAAAAGGAAACAACACGCCTGTGTGTAAGTGAAAGTAACTTCCCTGGGAAGTGTGCACATCAAACATTTTTAAGTGAAATGGAGACCGCCAAATTTTCCTGCCCCGTTGTGCCCCAGCGTGGCAGGGAGTGTCCCACAGACTTTCGAATGACGCCGTGCCGTTCCCAGCTACGACACCACGCTGCGCCACATGGCCTGCCCCCCAAATCCCCGCTATCGCAGAAGGGTTCCCGGACGGTGAGCGGCTACCGCATGGATCCGTCCCGGGCCGTCCCGACGCCTCGATTGATCTGGGAGTCGGAGCTTCACGCCGCCGCCACCAGGGTGCGCAGGTATTGGTATTCCCTGCGCGCGGGGTCATAGAGACGGCGGTTGCCGGCGGGCGAGCATTCGACGGTGAGGCGCGGAGGTGGTGGTACGCGCCAGTTCGCTCCGATAGCAGAGCATCTGAGGTGTCCCAGCAGCCATGTCGCGTGGAGAGCGGTACGGAGACGGGCCGGAGGTGCCCCCCAATGTGGTCAGCGACTGTGCGCCGCCGACCCGCGGCGCCACGTCGCGTACTGCGCGCCACTTTGATTTTCACGCCAAGCACGCCGGCGACTACGCCAAGTCCATTGTGGACAGCGGACTGGACTCGGGCTACCTGTCGCAGACGTGCCTGACGGACGAGGGCCTCTCGCAGCGCTCGCTGGCGAGTGGGCCGCTCGAGCCGCCGCGCTGCCCCAAGGAGGCGACATCGCGCCTGCTCGACAGTGGCGTGGACTTGGGTGAGCGGCTGGGCAGCGAGCTCAGCCAGCTGCGTGTGGACGAGACCCGGCTGAACGAGGCGGAGCGCGCGCGCTGGCAGGCGCGCTATGTGGACACGCTGACCGAGGCCTACCGCGGCGACGAGGACGGAGACACGTGAGTGCCCATTGCGCCTTCTGCGTCTAATGCGCTTCCGGTCCGTCCTGCCCCGCTTCCTCGCGAAAAAATGCGTGATGATCTATTTGTGAAGGTGCATTAGTTAATGTGATACACGTATACACATATGGCATGAACGTAAGTACGGGTAAAAACGAACGTAACAGCGAAATCATGAACGTCAAGGTACGATGTCAGGACCTATTTATTAATGTATCCACCTAATGCCTCTTGCCTTTGCCTGTACCAAAGCCACTCCGTCTTTGTCTGGACGCCTTTTGTGTTGTTAACCGCGCTGGAGCTGCTTTATTTCCATTGAGTGCCTACGCAGTCCGCCACCACACTGTAACTTAAAGGCTGTGCAAAGCGTGTTAACCAGGTTTTGTCACCTAACACCAAACTGTATCGGCTGACTTATTCCCTGCTTTCATCGATGAGAGGTGCTTGCATGCCTGGCTGTCGCTCGACGTCAGTCGCTCAGCGCCATGTCCAGCGATGTTTCAGAGTGGTCGGGTGGCGTAGGTTTTGGCTCGAACACTACTGACATCCGCGTAATATTTTGTTCTACTAACATCCGTGTAATATTTTGACAGTAATGTGGGATTTAATCACAAAGTGTGCGCTCTTGCGTTCCATGCAAGTAGCGCGTAATTGGTGATATCAATGGCGTCACACCAATTTCGGTCAACTTGATTTCGCTCCTGCCTTGCCCGCCAACGTCCATCGATTTGGGGCGGCCCTCCCTTGGGGGAGGAGTTCCAGCCGGCTAGTCTGCGGCCCCTGTGCGTCGATTTCCCCAGTCGCCGTTCGTGGAAGTATGTGCCACGCACCGTTGTGGAATTCCTTGTCGGGCCGTAACATCTATGGGGCAATCCAGCGCGTGGCGTCACGGAAAGCCCCGTCACCGATCAGGGCCGCCCACCCGCCACACGGGAAACACGGCCGCCGGGCCCGAGATCTCCTTTTTGCGAAACTCGGCGCGGGGATGGCCCACCGTGGCAACCTTGGACCGCGTCACCTCTCACGGAATCGGCCGTTGTTCCTCCAACCGTGGATCGTTGCACTTCGGTTGGCCCGTTGCGGAAGTGCCGGAGTCGCCCTTGTTAGGACTTTCCGATCGCGGGAGCGTCGCTCGTCATATGGGGCTCAGATCGTCGCTCGTCATGTGGGGCTCAGAGCGTCGCTCGTCATATGGGGCTCAGATCGTCGCTCGTCATGTGGGGCTCAGATCGTCGCTCGTCATGTGGGGCTCAGAGCGACATGGGGCTCAGATCGTCGCTCGTCATGTGGGGCTCAGAGCGTCGCTCGTCATATGGGGCTCAGATCGTCGCTCGTCATGTGGGGCTCAGATCGTCGCTCGTCATGTGGGGCTCAGAGCGTCGCTCGTCATATGGGGCTCAGAGCGTCGCTCGTCATATGGGGCTCAGATCGTCGCTCGTCATGTGGGGCTCAGATCGTCGCTCGCATCATGGTGGTCAGAGCGTCGCTCGTCATATGGGGCTCAGATCGTCGCTCGTCATGTGGGGCTCAGAGCGTCGCTCGTCATGTGGGGCTCAGATCGTCGCTCGTCATATGGTGGTCAGAGCGTCGCTCGTCATGTGGCGGTCAGATCGTCGCTCGTCATGTGGGGCTCAGAGCGTCGCTCGTCATGTGGGGCTCAGATCGTCGCTCGTCATATGGTGGTCAGAGCGTCGCTCGTCATGTGGTGGTCAGATCGTCGCTCGTCATGTGGTGATCAGAGCGTCGTCAAAAGGATTTCTCCTCGATTCTGTTCTATTCCTGGTGCAAAGCACTGCGATGATAATGTTGCCTCACATTCTATTTTGGGGAAGTATGACGCGGTCCAGACGCGACTCGATCGGCCCGGATCTGCAGGGTCGTGACTGGGCACCGCGCTGCGGGTGGTCACCATTGATCTGCCCGCCCCCACCGGCTCGTCTGGTCTGACCGTGCCTGCGCCTTGTATGGTGCGGCGTCCGCTGCCTTGCGCTCTGCACATATGACCTGCGGCGTCTTTATGACGTTATCTGCGGTGCACGGCCGCCTGGCAGCGGGCGGTTGCTGGCCTCTGGAAAACCCGCCCGGGCCGCGCCGCCCGACCGTGCGGCGCGTCCATTCATTCGCAGCTGCAGGGGTGCCGCGAGCCGCCGTGCGCGGCCCGCAGCCCGCCGGTGTCGTCCGGAATTCCCGGCCTTTGTGAAAGTGGCCCGGCCGGCGAAGACACGGCGCGGCGCGGCCATGGAAATCCCGGGAGGCGCGGTGTCTTTGTGATTCCTTCCCCCTCCCCCGCCCGCGAAATTGCAGCCGTCTCTGTAATGCAGCAGTTTGGTCGGGGGACCTCGGGTGGAATTTCGTATCCAAACCAAATCCGCCCTTTCGCTCGTGGCGTTTAGCGAAGATCAGTTGATCTGCGCCTGAGATGGACATGGGTTTCAAGTAGCAGAAAAGCGAGTACCATGTCCTGGCGGTGTGTGCTGCGGGTGATAGCCATCTTCAGATGAAGAGAACCTTGGCGTCGGCTTTTTCGAGCGCTCATATCAAATGGGGCTTCTTTCACACACGGATGCCCGGTCCTCGAAATAACGGCACGCTTCTGACCAGTTCAGCTCAGCTGCTCACGATCTTTGCAGAGCTTTTCCGCGTAGCGTATGCCCGTGTCACAACCATCAATCAGTATCCCAACAGTCCTTTGCGAGCCATAACAAACCTGCCCGACCGACATAATGCCTAAGCTATCCTATTTGAGTCCCGAGCGAAGGGTTTTTTTCCATGCTCTGTCGGAGCGGCTACTCTCAAACACCATTTCCGCGCACATAGCAGCGCCGCAGGGAAACTGACAGATGCAAAGGCCTTCTCAGCAGTGACCATGGTCTTTCATTCCAGACACCTTCACCTGGCCATCATCTACGATTTCCGGAAGGTGGCGGAGTGGCTGATCCGCCTGGTGCCCCAGCCCAACTTCCTCAACCTTCGGAACACCTACATGCAGGTGAGACCCTTAGCTTCGCAGCAGCACGGCCGTCCGCCGGTGTCGGTCCTAAAGCGCGGCTTGAACGTCACCGGCGCCTCGGACCGCAGAAAAGTCTATGAAATAGCCTCACGTTATCTGGCTGAGTCCGAGGCCTCGATCGCCGGCACGAGTGTTTGGCGAGGTCAAGTGTCGTCGGTGGGGCTGCCGAACCCCATGACCTCGACACTAGGCGGTAAGGGGGGGGGGGACGGGGAATAACCGACGACAAAGCGGCGTGCCGGGCGGACCGATAGTGGGGCGCGATTACGACCGGTTGGGGCCTGTCTTACGACCGGTTGGGGCCCTGTCGAGAGCCTTTGGCAGGATTTCAAGCGCGTCGTTCAGTTGCAGCTGATGTAGGGACATTTTCGGTCGCCAGTTTACCTGCTGCTGTTCAGACGTTGGCGTTGGTTCGTCGCGGGGTTTCCCGTGTTTTCCTCCTTGATAAAGGTCGCGCATGCCGCTGACGGCGGCGCGGTGATTGCATCGCAGACCAGTGTTTGCGTTTGCTCGAGGAAGCACTCAAGAAGCGCGCCACGATGTGCGTAAGGGTCGTGGTCCTAAAGCAACTGAAAATGCATGGTCATCGCGAATGCGACAGCCGGCTGGTGTGTCGCATTCATGAGTTGCCGTCAGTCTCACGTGATCAATGTGTCCAACTTAGATCACTTCGCTGCCTGTCACGTGCGGCGTCCAGGCGGAAATCACCAAAGCAGTGCCCCCCCCTTAAAAACATAGTCTTTACCATCACCACGATGAGAACGAGGCGGACCTCGGTGACTGACGCCGCGTCGGCCCTCTTGTAGACGCCGCTGCACCTGGCCGTGCTGACTGGCGACGCGTCGCTGTGTCGACACCTGCTGGTGGCCGGCGCCGACCTGAGCCTGCGCGACCGACACGGCAACACGCCGCTGCACCTGGCCTGCGAGCGGGCCAACCGCGCGTGCGTGCACGCGCTCACCGAGCCGGTGACGGCCGAGGAGACGCGCCAGGCGGCCACGCGCTACACCTGCCAGCCGGCGCCGGCCGCCGCCGATCAGCTCGACGAGTGGAACTACCAGGGTGAGTACCGCCTGCGTCGTTGCACGCACCCGCCGGCGGCGGGCGCGGACGGGGGCGAGGGTCGGCGCTGACGTATCTGGGGAGAACCCTCCGGTCGCTGGCGTCGCGCGTCGCAGCGCCTCCTCAGCAGTGGCGCCACAAGAGATCGCCGCCGGTTTTCCCGACCGCGGAGCGGCGGGTTACTGCGTCCTGTCACCAGCAGGAGGTCACCTTCCGGGGCATATACGCCGCCTTTCCCGGCGGGCGCGCCACACCGCGCCCCGGCCGGCGCGGCGCGGCGGCGGCGATCGATGCGCGTGCGAGGTCGGCCGATTCCCGGTAGGGGCTCCGCCCGCGCGGGAGGGACGCGCCCGACGCCCCGTCTGCCGCTCCCGGTCGATGCGGCTGGGTGGCAACAGTCGCCGCCTTCTCCGCCGCTGCCATGAGGTCACCGACGCCCGAGACAGCGGCCGCGTCGGCTGCTGCAGACGGCCGCGCAGTCCTCTCGCCAGTGTCTGTGTATTGCGCGCCGTTATTCAGTCAGTCAGGCCGGTAGAGCAGCGTACTCGGGTCTGTGTCTGTCGAGCGCCACGCATCGGCAGCGGTCGTCATGACGCGTTCGTGGCCATTCTCCACCGGAACGGTGCTTCGTGACACTAACCAGTGCTGACCGCGGCAACGTTCGTTGCATGCTCGTCCACGGTGACGGGAGGACAGCCTTTACAGTATTGATAGAAACAAAAAGAGACGGCCTTAAAAAGCAACATTAGCTAGTTGCATTATTTAACTAGTTGGCCGGTTAAACCACACGACTTCTTGCGTCAACGACCGCTCGCCGGGTGAAATCACAGCGGCCAGAGCGAGCGGGCGCCTGCCGATGGCTGCGGCGCCGCCATCCACCGATTTGAAGCAGCGGCAGCCGGCCTGAGGTATCGATCGGGCGGCCTCGGGCGGTCGGCCGGACTTCCCCGCCGCTCTCGCCGGCCTCGGAGCGTGTCGCCGGCTGGCGTGACGACCAGAGCTGGCCGCCGCCGCCAGCAGTCAGGCGTTACACTGACGGCGCGCCGCGGCCCCAACAGAGCAACGGTCGCCGCCGCGCCGCGCCGCGGCCGGAGCACGCACGGCCCGCTATCTGGAACGAGCGCCGGCCGCCGCGCGGCACTCGCATCAAATATGGCGTCCAGGCCGCGCGCGGGCGCGCGCGGGGAATCCCCGCCGCCGCGCGCGCGGCGAGCGAGGCCGCGCACTACGGATTAGAGGGCCGGAGCGAGGGGGAGAGAGGCGGCGAGGTGGGCGGCCTCGACCGCACGACTGCGGCCTGGTGAGGCCCCGGCGAGGGTCGTGCACGGCACGGGGCCGCTGCTGGCCGAGGCGGTCTCCGGCACCGGCATTACACGATTGAACTGTCAAGGAGAGGGGAAGGGGGGGGGTCGCCCTGCGATCAGTGAAGAAGCGCGCGCACTGGACAGGGGGGCCCTGCGATCAGTGCCCCCCTGTCCAGTGCGCGCGCTTCCGAGAGCGGACCTGTCGAGACCGCCTCCCCACCGGCTTCCCGCGGGCGGGCCGCCGGCCGCCGTGGCCTCGCTGACGTGGCGTCCGGAGCGGACCCCTTACCGGAGCACTGAACTCCTTGGAGCTGCCGGAAAATCCGCGCCGCCGTTGCCGCCGCCGCCGCGGCCGTGCGGCTGGCTGCCTCCCGCGCTCTTGGCACGCGCCGCCGCCGCCGCCGCCGCGTGCATTGCCTTATTCGGCAGTCAGAGCGCGCGCGCGCGACGACTGGGCACGCGCGTATTTTCGAACTGGTTTTCCCGCGCGCCGCCTGCCAGCTGCTCTAAATCGGTGGCGGCGGTCTGCCGGCGGACAAAAATACGGCGGCGCCGGGCAGCGCGCGGCCTGGCGCGTGATTCAGCGGCGCGCCGCGCGGCCAGCCGCTTCGTCGGCGACGCTCGGCCGCGGAGGGGCGCGCGGCTTAGTCAGTGGGGCGACCGCTTCCCCGGCGGCTTGCTTCCCGGAGCAGCCGCCGGGGTCTGCGGCTGACCGGGCCGTCCGGGACCGTCCCCCAGGTCGCCGTTGACGTCACGGTGCGGTGAAAAGGTCAGCCGGCAGCTGTCGGTACTCCCCGGGTCGACAGCGTTCGCTGGGCGACGCAGGGGAGCGTGACAGCGGCGACCCCTGGCCGCGCGCTGGTGCGACACGCGGCGGGCGGAACTGCCGGACCGCGCGCGCCCCGCGCCGCCCGGTTCGCGGCACCCCGAGCTGTTGCGCCGTTGGCTGGCGCGCGTGGGTGCCCGTGCAGTCTGGGCGAGGAGCGAAAATGGTCGCAGGGCTGCGGCTTGCACGAACCAGAGCTACGCAGCTGTTATTTTCATACCGTGCAATCTGATGTGGCCGTCAAGCGCAGGAATGTGGACGTGAAATTTGAGCACGGTAGGCTGTCCGAACGGCAGACGACGGCGTTTTAAGATCGAAAATGTAACTTTTTCACAGCTGAATGTTTTGTTGGCCCCAATTCACACACCACTTGGTTTTGCAAGTGTTTGCACTAAAGTAGTCAAGGTCCTCTCACGACCAGAATAATTACCTTTAATCTGCGTCGGAATTCGGCGGTGATTCGGCCAGCGTGCTGCCGCCCGCCACGCCGGACCAGGTCGGCACCGTCAGGCCAGCGCGCCCGCCTGGAAACAGCGGCGGCTGGCAAACGTGGGAAATTCCAGCCTCGGCGGGGCGGGGGAGGGGGGGGGGGGGCGCCGGCGGCCGAGCGTCGGAAAACCCGCGCCGGACGGCTGTCCGCTCTCCTGGGCCGGCCGGCCGCCGTTCCCACGGCGACCGGGGCCATAATCTCGGCGGCACGCGCCTCCGCCTGGCGTGCCGGCCGGCGCGGATGCTGCGGTGGCCGCGGCGCTCGGCCAGTCACGGCGCCCGCCCACCGCGCGCCTGCCAGCGTCCGGGTCACGGACGGGCCCGTCTCGCGGGCTCGCGAGGGAGAGGGGGAGGGAAGGCGCAGTGCTTAGCGGCGGCCTCCCGGGTGCTGGCCGCCTCGCTGTTTGCTCTCTGATAGCCGGCGACCTTGCCTGCCGGCCGCGGAAAACCCGCCCGTCGCACCGCCGTGGCGCGGACTTTCCAGGCCCGAGCGGCGCCGCGGCCGGGGTTTTACGCGCGCGCCACCTGTCTGCCGTGACCCACGCTGACCCGAACCGCCGCCAGGTGGCGCATTCGGGTCACCGGACCGGTCGGCGGGGAGAAGGGGGCTTAGACGTGGGCGGGTGCGGCCGGGGACGCGTGCGCGAGCGACTCGACGGCCGCGTTCATTTGAGTGACGCCAAGGTCGTATGCGGAGTTCAACCGGTCTGAGCCGCGCTCAGGGCTCGCCACGTCCGCCGCCGACCAGGACCGGCAAGGGAGGGGGGGGGGGGGGGGGGGAGTGATAACGTGCGAGACGCAGTATGTGCGTCATTGAAGCATTACCGAGACAGGAGCGCTGCAGCCGGCCGCGTCTGCCGCGTATGCTGCTGCGTGTCTGCGTTGTTGGCAGGGGGGCGTGAAGTTGACGTTCCCTGTCATCGTTGCAGGCCTGAGCTGTCTACATCTGGCCGTCCTGTCCCGGGACCTGGAGATCACGGCCCACCTCATGTGTCACGGCGCCAACGTCAATGTCGTGGTGAGTACTGTCGCCGCGACCGCTGGCGGCGGCTCGTGGGGCGTGCGTCCGTCCACAGACGGTACAGAGGATCCCCGCGGTGGAGTCCCCAGTCCTCCGGCGACGGGGTGTGCGGCCGCGCCGCGTGTGGTCCGCACTGATCCATTCAAGAGCGGCGTGTCTGGGGGGAGCGATGCCACATCTGGCTGGCACATGGCCCGCGCACCTGCAGCTGAACCCCCGTCGCCACCTGCGGTGCCCCCACCCAGCCCGACGGGTGGGCCTCCTCCAGTCCGCGTCGCCATCAGAGCGTCCAGCTGACGTCCGTGCCGTTTGCAGGAGGGCAAGAGCGGCCGTACGCCGCTGCTGCTCGCCGCCGAGGTGGGTAACATCGAGATGCTGCGCTTCCTGGCCGAGGCGTGCAGCGCCGACGTCAACGCCGTCACCTACGGCGGCCTCTCCGCCTACCAGCTGGCGCTGCTGAACGCGCGCCTGGACGTGGCCGAGCTGCTGCTGCTGCTGGGCGCCGGCCGGCGGGAGCTGCCCGAGTCCGACATGGACGTCTCGTCCGACTCCGACCCGGAGGTGAGCGGCCGGGGAGGACGGAGTCAGGCGCGCGGCCGCCGGCCGCAGGCACGTGTCAGCGTGGCGGGCGGCAGTCCGTCAGTGTCATCGCTCCCGGTGACACTGCGCACACCGCTAGCGTGAGCACTCGATGCCTACGGGTTACGATGGGCTTACGCCGCGTCCGCTGGCGGCCGTCGAACACGGGGCGTCCGCGCAGCCACTGGGAGCCGACGTTTTGATGCCGTGTTTTCTTCAGACGGCCGGTCACATTCGCAACGCCTTATTGTACCGTTGTTTTACCACGCTTCGTAAATACTTTTGCCCATCACCTGCGTTCTTTAGCCATAACATGGCCGTTGTCTCGGTCGAATGCGTGGTCCGGGCGCCTTCGTGCGGCGCTGCGGTGCCGTCGGCCGCTCCCACACCCGGTCTATTCTTGGCTGCGTCAACCGCGCTCCGTTGGCCGCCGCCTCCGACTTTAGCCACGGAACGCTCCGTGGCCCGCGCATCGCGACATAAAACGCCACCATGCGACCCGCCGGGCTTTTTTCGGCACGTATATGCCGTCTCGATCCCGACTTTCCCGCTCTCAGAGCCGCGGACGCTCGTAAAGCCGTATGGGCGAGAGGTGTGACACGACACCACCTGGCGGAGGTTCTGGAAGCTCGGCGGGCCAGGTGGAGCGCGCCGCTGCCGCGGCATTGTGACCGCCCACGCAGCGGCCCGACCCGGTCGGTTGAAGGTCGAGTCGAGTGCCGTCCATCTGAGGGCCTAGCCTTGAATGAACCTCGCGTGACGTCATCGCGGTGCAGGGTGACGTCATCCGAACCGAGTAGTCACCCCATATCCCGGAAGCGGCGGTGCACGACGTGCTTTTGCTGGTGCTGACGCCTGCTTTCCGTCTTTCCAGACTCTGTTGGTAGCCGAAGACATCTACAGCGACATTCGGTTACGAGGCCAGCCTTTGGTGAAGGCGCAGTGAGCGTCCCGCCGCACCAGGCTTGCCGCGTTTGGAGCAGCTGGCTGTGTCACTGACCGTTGTGTGGCCGGCGCGCGTGACGTTGTCACGCCGTGATGTCACGCCGTGATGTCACGCCGTGGTGTCACGCCGAACTCGTGCGCGAAGCACACCGACCTCGCGTCTCGCGTCGCGTGAATGGTATTTATGAGCGCGTGCCGTGAGAGCGTGGAGCGATCCGTGTTGTGGAAACTGACGAAGATAAATCAATATAGGCGTGTTGTCACTGTACATATTCATCATCCTTTCGCGCGTGTAAATATCATTGACGTTGGTTGGACCTGTTGTGTTGGAAGTAGATGCATATGTATGAGTAGACACCGTAATACATGTAATACATGTGATATGTTACACGATGTTTGAGGTGTTACTAAAAGGGACGAATTTCCGATGTGGGCGGGATTACCGATGTGGTGGGTTAAAAGGAGCCCAACGAACCTTCATGGCCCGCCGCGTCACAAGTCCTCGGGATCAAGGTCCTCAAGTCCACAAGTCCTCGTCACAAGTCCTCGGGATCAAGGTCCTCAAGTCCACAAGTCCTCGTCACAGGTCCTCAGGATCGTCACAAGTCACAAGACCCAAAACATCGCAAAAGATGCTACCACATTCGTCACTGTGGCTCAGATGCAGCTCGGGGATGTCACTGAAGATAATTTTGGAAGTCCCCCTCCCCCCCCCCCTCAGTGCGTGTTCGACCGCCCTCGACGGCCCTCTGAGTCCCGTCAATGCAACGGAACAAAAAAGGGATGCTAGACACAAAAATGCAGAAGTAAATTATCTTCACTATTAGTATATTAGACACTTAGATGTATTATCATTAGTGCCGTATTCATCTTGTGTCAAATAAATCGGTAAGAGCTCATGTTTTCGTCATACCAGCTTCTTAATCTGTTAAACCAGGCTGCAACCGTTGGCTACGAGATTTTGACATGCAAACACCTAGATTGGGTAAAGAACAGTTGGCTGCGCGCTGCGGCAGTATTTTGGAGTACAGATTGGGTAAAGAACAGTTGGCTGCGCTGTGCGGCAGTATTTTGGAGTACAGATTGGGTAAAGAGCAGCTGGCTGCGCTGTGCGGCAGTATTTCGGAGTACAGATTGGGTAAAGAACAGTTGGCTGCGCTGTGCGGCAGTATTTCGGAGTACAGGGTAGCCCAGCGAAGAGTTTTCCCATGTTTTCTCCAACAGCGGCAAGGCTATTTGTCGTACAATCGTCCCCGTGTTGCCATTTACCTCTCCATTGAATGGCACAACACAACTAGCGACAGTCGTACCGCCAGTCCGGGTCAACCTCTCAGAACTCTGGGCCGGGGGCTTCACATGCCGCAGTGCTCGGTGCGGCCCGTCCTACGCTCTGACGTCACCCGACCGCCAGCGGGGCCGCTGCCCCCGGCCGCGGGCGGTCACTATCGGGGACAAGCAGCCAACGTCTAAAGCGGCTCGAATAGCTCGGCGGTGTGTCAGAAGATCGCGTGAGTTGAGTTTTACCGTTGTATTTTGGGCTCATCGGGACAGTCTGCTCACAAATTCTCCATGAGCTCTCGTTGGAACGCGTCATGCCACTACATTCTACGTAAGACAGCCTTTTTACGGCTCGGGCTACGTGCGGTGAACGATATTGATTTGCGTTGATCACAAGGGCTCGAAATGCTCAAATGAGTATCCGTGAATTACGCGTCATGACATACTTTTCACAAACATGCAGCGTCACATCACATTGGAAGGGGAAAGGTGGCTACTGTGGCCTGGAAGTAACTGCTGCCGCTGTGGCCTGAAATCCACAAGCGAGTGGTCCTGATGCCGGCGTCGTGTAGGTGTTAATGCAAAATGTTAGGGACCAATGAAGATTAAGAGAAGATAAACAGATAAAAATGTGTGAAGTTCATAAATCACTGCATGTCGACAGAATTAACTGTGCCGATGTTTCAGGCAAGTAGCCAAAAAAAGGATACTGTCTTATCCTACTGATGGGTTACCAACTGAAAGAATAGCGGCTTGCGACAAGGCAGTATTTTGTGATAACTGAAAAGGGGACCTGAAAATGAGATAAGATCTGGCGGTCTAGTGTTAAAATCTGGTGTTAAATGAACCGCATTGTGCAAAACCTGCGACTGCACTCATGCTGTCTGTTAGATATGTCAGTAATATATTACTTTGAAAGCAGGAAGACTATGTAAGTTTTTCCCAGAGAGCGACCAGACTATTCACAAATTTTGCTACGAGGGGATTTAGCGAGTAATAAGGGTAATGAAAGATTGCTATGAGCGATGTTTGGCTCTTGCATTATTTGTTTCGCTCGTGCCTTTTCTTCGTTCCGCGTGATTAAGTGTGGGCTATCTCGGTGCCGTGAATAGCTTCTGAAAGCTCTCTTTCCTCCTGCAATATCCTCGGCTACGTGCAAAATCCACCAGTGCTGCCAAAAGAAAAATCCACCAGTTATGCTGTTTATAATCCTTCCCTTCTTAACACCTAGTTTCTGACCTTCCCCCTAGTTCCCTCTAGACAATCCCTCAAGTTTCTGAGCTACACGCCCACAAAAATGGGGATTGATATATCGGGAGAAAGTATTTCAAAGTCACCCTGGCATTCATGACATCAAAATAACGCGATTCAAATCATGCCATTCCATAAGTCATGCGGTGGCCAGGGCCAAAAAAATACAGTTGTCGAGGCGTTCATATCTGGCGTTTGTGAGCGCAATTTCCAGAGATATCGGCCGTCAGTTGGCGCTCAATCTATGTTGTGTAAGGTATGATGACGTACTCAAACCATCACGTATTGAGAAGCATATTTACTAAGCAGAGAATTGTGCCGTCTAGAGCAGTCTTTTTCGCTTAAAAAGTGTACCAACACTTATAAATGGACTTGTTTCATCAAATCCATGCTTGCTTCAATATCTTTGAACGTAAACATGGTGAGTATCGATGACGTTCTCTGTTATGCGGTCCTGTGGATCAGATAGAAGGGAGTTATTGCTCCATACTGGGTTGCCGACGTTTGAGTCACCAGGCAAAATGAAAGGATTTTGAAACTGTCCAGCAACGCGCTAATTACGGTTTCAACAAGATAAAAAGACGTTTATGATTATGTGGTAAATAGTTTAAGCATACGTCAACAATTTGGCCATTTAACCTCACCGCGCAGGGGCTTAACGGGATCTGTGTTGACAATCACTATTCGTGTGTGATGCTGTACCGTGATTTATATGGCCTCCTCCCGTCTTATAGCGTTACGGCGAATAAGTAAAGTGTAACGCTGTGGGATCGGTGGGCAGACGCCACGTTTCTTGTACTGCAATGACAATTGGAGAGACGAATCGGAAAAAATGATTTTATTTCAGACCATTTCGATACGAGTTCACAACAATTTCATTTCAAGAAGATAGACATCAACCATTGGTTTGAGCTGTCGCCACCGGCTGGCGGCAATCGGTCGTGGAGACGGATCGTGGGCAGGCTATGACCACCCTCCCTAGCGGAAAGGACCGGCGGTCCTCACCCGCGCGGGATGCGGCAGAAGTGCGATCGTCCGTAGTCTGGCAGGACGGGCTCGGTTGTTGACCGTTTGCAGCTAGGTGGCTAGGACGGCAGGCGGCTTGAGCAGCCTGAGGACCATCTGTGATGGCTGGTACGGCAGGCGGCTTGAGCGGCCTGAGGACCATCTGTGGTGGCTGGGATGACAGGCGGTTTGAGCGGCCTGAGGACCATCTGTGATGGCTAGTACGGCAGGCGGCTTGAGCGGCCTGAGGACCATCTGTTGCCGGAGAGTCGGGACGCCGGCTAACCTGGGGACGGAAGCGCACAGGCGCCTGGGCGTCCGAGCGCTCGGCCACGGCCAATCCGACGGAATTTGCCGACTGGGTCCGCGTGTTTAGCTCAACTGAGACTGACGCGGAGACGAGAATCTTCCGGGTGGGGAGCTGGGGAGTAGAGTCTGTCTGTGTACCATAGGCTGCTACCTTGATTTTTGCTGCCTGCGCATGTGTTTCGTTTGGCTGCGGGGACATATTTGATTCAATGGCACGTCGTGCCTGAGGATACGACACACCCACCGTTGCTTTGACTACGCAGATCCCCTCCTCACGCTTCCACACAGGACATTGCGATGAGTTAGCGTGATGTCCCGTGTCATCACACTTCAGACACTTCACCAGTGCCGTGCAGACAGAGCCGTCATGTGGGGCCGCAACGCACTTTTGACAGCGAACGCCGTCTGCGTGTTTTGCTCACATGACCAAATCGTTAACAGTTGTAGCAGTACAGTGGATTTGGGATAATAACTCGGGGCAGAGTAGCGGAGATGACCAGCAATTGAGAGTTTCAGGCATGTTATTGTCTTGAAATGTCAGGACGAGCAAGCTCGTGTCACACCGTTGGTGGTCTTTGAAGGTTGTCAGACGATGGATCTGAGGATCCTTTTCTGTGCGAAGCCCACCGACAATTTGCTCTTCAGTCATGAAGCGCATTTCGAGTGGGAAGATCGTCCCTTAGGTGGTTTTTCGGGCATCGTGGAGCAAGACGTCGAATTTTTTTCCGCAGAACCTGGTCGTTTTCGAGATGGCTTTGGTCTGAGAACGCGTTGGTGTTTTGATGACCAGAGGACTGTTCGCCGGGTTTTTAATGTTAAGGGCTGATGCACCGCAAATAATAGCCTGAATTTGTTTGTTCGATGAAAGCACATTAATTCTCCGGATTGAAAATTCTCGTCCGTTGAGATATTCTCATTCATTGAGACATTCTCGTCCTTGAGACGTACTCGTCCGTTGAGACATTTTCGTCCGTTGAGACATTCTCGTCCGTCATGCAATAAACTGACGTGCCAACCGGTTACCGAAGTTTTGGCGCAATGTTCACTGCAAATCACTAAACGTTCAGTGTGTGTGTGCTAAAATGACAGTCTGCGCGATGCTACTGGGTAAAAGTTGGTTAAACGTTGGTTAAAAAGGGTTTGTTAGTGCGTTTCGGATAACTGAAAACAAACCAAATGTTTCGTGTGCTTAAATAACATGGTGACACTACTACAGCAGGTGGCACGGAAGATCACGGCAGATAAAAATTAGGAAGGCTGCAATGAAGTGTGGTGCGAGATGTGATGATGAGGCCTGACACACGTTCCGCTGGCTTAAAGTGGTTGTGGTGAATACCAAGTAAAATATGCACAGATGTAAATGCTGGATGATTGGGATTTCGTCGCACTTTTGTCGCACATTGCATGATGTGCTCCATGCATCGGAGACCAAGGTGCATAATGCGTGCGTCCGCCTCACGCACCGAACCTGGAGTAGTGCGCATTACTCCCTGCGCAATTCGCAAAAGCATGTTTTGAATGAAAGATAGGCGCTGAAGAGCGTGT